AAGAAATGCAGTATGTTAGAGTTCAATCGACAGAGGCATTACGCAGTTTGCAACTCAGAGAAACCCTCGAGATGAAAATAATTTTGATGATTTACAGATAGCCTGCAATCATGAAATGAAAAAATGATTTTTCAGATTGAAGATAATAAAAAGGATACTAAAAATCACGACGATTTACAACAAACTTAATCAAAAATGCACAGAATAAGTAATCAAGCCGGGAGTTCACATTCTCCAACGTGACCCCTCCCGGGTATCTATTTTTACCTATTTGTTAACATTTACTACATAGGCACACAAAATAAAAACGTTTTCAGACCCAAAGACTATATACATATTTATCTATGTATGTCGACGCGCATCGGAACACTGTATGCCCACCGCCGCGTCCGGCACTACCTTTGCTCCCCGGCTCGGTTGCGAGCAGGAAACATATTTATGTGACGTCACAGAGCATTGAGTTGGCAAGTCTTGAAATAGATGATTGGGATTAGGATTAAAAAATACCCGAGTAATGAAGGGTATTTCAAATAGTATTTCAATTAAGTAAATTTGAATTCTCTTTCATTCAATTCATGGATTTATATATTACCTAATCAGCTGTTTAGACAAAGTTTGTGCACAGTATCACTAATATTTTTAATATTTTTTTGTTAAACTTTTTGTAACCGCCATCTTGCGGTTAAGAGCTGAAACATTTGTGGAAAAATATAAACTTCGGCTTATCACCGATGAGCGCTGTACCTGCGATAACCAAGTATTGGTAACGACTGCTAGAAGGCGCCGATTCTAATCTCTGCTTTGCACCAGCCAATCAGGAATTTCTTCCGCAAGTGATCACAAATTATAGAGAAGAAAAAGTCTTAGTCCATTTTCTGCCGGTAACTTGCGTTGAGAAGGTATCCCAGAGGGATTGCGATTAGCGAAAAAGCCAATGGATACATCTTGGAAAAGCTCAATAGAGGTAACGATTTTGCCACATACTTAGTAGAAGTACTTTAAGCCAAATAAAGTAGTAAACTTTCATGTAATTTCATGTGAATAGTAATAATAATAATAATAATAATAATAATAATAATAATAATAATAATAATAAAATTGACGCGTAGTTTCGTCGTACGTTTTCATTTTCCGCAGAAAGCTTTTTTGATCGCTTTGCGGCCGAGAATAAATAATTTCCCTATTAAAAATTAAATATAATCCATTAAGAATATTACTATAAATAAAATTAGAATTTAAGCAAATTAGAAGAAATTGAAATATAATATGTGAAAATGGGAACAGAATTTTGAATCAAGATTACATGAATTATGAAATGTATTATTCTAAAGTGAAGTAGAATAAAATAAAATAGTCTATACAAATAAATAAGTAAACAAATCAAATTAAGATGAGCAAACTGACATATCGATTCTGAGGCGGTTGCGGACCTCCGTTCAGACAAAACAGCTGCTGCCAAGGGCTTTGTACGTTATTTAAAAGAAAGCTCTCAACGGAGAGAGGTAGAGGGCGGAGTTTTTTTAAGAAATGGCCATTAGGGGGAAAGGCCCGTCCGGGTTGGTGGAGAGAGGCGGGCGGAGGGGTTAATGTGCGTGGGAAGCGGCCACTACAGGAGGGATGAGAGAGGAGGAATCTGTTTATTCAAAATAGTGTGTTAGGGATTGTTTAATAAATTATTGATGTGTATGGCTTCTAATTTAAGTCTGTGAGAGTATCTGTTCTCGATTTCCAAACTTTTGACGTCACTGCATTAAATGAGTGTTGTTATTCTAAGAGATGTTTGGCAAAGTGTTATTGCGTTGAGCTTGTACGTGTTCTTTGGTTCTTTGTCTAAAGTATCTCCCGGTATTGAGCATTGCAATTTCCACAGGAAATGGAGTATACCCACGATGATAGAGACGTGGGGATAAGATCTTTGTTAGAAAGTGTGCTGGCGTGCTGAATGTGACGTGGATGTCAAATTGTCTGAGTTTTTTGGCAATGTTCGGTGACATCAAAGTGACCGTCTTGCCAGAACGAAGGACCACTCACAGAGGGAGCTGTGACGCTCGTATGGCTAAAAGCTAAATATATTGGGGAATGTCACTATCACTCAGGAATAAACAAAATATGTAAAGTTGACACATGTAATTAAATAGTAAAATAATTGTTACAGAAATTGATAAACAAATTGTAGTATGTAGTATTGTAGTAGCTTTTGGCTACAACATATATTTTGAAGCACAGACTTCATTCATTCCATTCCAAGGCTTCTTCGCCTTACTGAAGAGAACCGAATATTTCGAAAACGATTAGCAAAATTGGGTTTTTCTTTTATCCCATTTTGCAGTGACCGCCGATTTGGGTTCAAAATCCACCTCAAGGCCTTGGCAACCCTATCAAAACTCAAACTTTCTGAGTGTAATTTGGGATCCATTGGTCAAGGTGTTTTGAATAAGATACCCTTTGGCAAACACTAGCAAACATATTCTTGGCTTACGCCTATGTCATCTCATCTATGTCATCGTACTGTTTCGACTTCAATTCGTCTCATCAGCTTGGGAGATGTTGAGATTAGCAACATGGCTGACCGCATACCCAAGGACAGTAGTGGGGAGATTTTGAAAACCTTAGGATCAAACTGTTGAACGTGTTATGCAAGAGGCTGATCATTGAGAATTAATTAATGGTCTTCTCAAACATATAACAATTGGAGGTTACAAAGTTCAAACTGTTGTGATGAACCTGTGAAGAAAGAACAATATACACACACATATAATAAGTGTTAGGGGGACCGTCCACAGGCTTTATGCACCCTGCAAGGCTGCAGAATTATCAGCTGGTGGGAGCACAAGCACGCACCCTCTCAGGAATACCGGATGTCCACATGTCCCCGGATCAGGCACAGATATGCCTCCTGTCATGGCGAGATATGCTGCTTATCATTTTACGATCAGGAAACTTACTTGGAGAGTACGCGTGCAGCTAAGTTTGACAATGTACATGTCTAATGGTACTTATTGCATAATACGTTATCACTAATTGCAAAGAGAAATGAATTCAGTTAATGTACGTGATGCATGGATTTTTCAAAATTGCCATTACGTGGCAGAATTGAACACAGTCACCAGTAATTAAATCAATACCATCACACACACTTGAAGGTTACGTGGGAGCTATTGCAATCAACTAATAACGTGAACGCGTAAAAAGTACATACGTGAATTGCTCGGAAATGGGATGATTAATATATCGTTTGTATTGCACTGCCACTCATTAAAACAGTTAAAATGTCACCTTGTTAAGGCGTTGGGAACAAAGAAATATCACATGTTGCAACTAACTGAAATAGTCACACGAGGCATTATATGTATTGCCTCGGGGAAAATTGATTACGATTGACGCGGCGTGACGTCGCGTTAAACTGTGCAGTGCTCTCTGGCGCGCATTTTTTTTTAGATTTCGTCGAATAGCAGTGGGTTTTGCAAAAGAATATTAAATTGGAAGCCAGATAATTGTAATTTATTAACAAACTAAAATATAAGACTGTGTGGCATTTTTAATTGTAGAAAGTATGCTACTTTCATGTTTAACAGTGTTGAAGCATTTGTTCGTTGACGCAATCTTGTGCAATAACATTGGGCGGCACGCGCCGCAGTGATCGTGTTCCTGGAACCAGTGGAACGAAGGGGACAAGAAAGTTTCCTAGAATTGCCCACGCCCGCTCTCAAGCCTTGTAGATACAAACAGTTGTACAAATTGCATAAAAAATAGTTCGTACTAGAACCTGACCGCATTGATGTGCATGTGTCACGATAAATAATTAGATTTATGAAATGAATAGCTTGCGTGTTTGAACAGTGGTGTCAAAATTGAAAAGAAATACACTCTGACTTAAGTTACACATCAATAATTAATTAATCAGTCCCCAACTCACTATTCTGAATGAAGATATTATATCCCTCTCACCTCTCCTGAAATGGCCGCTTCCGAAAATTCCCCTCTGTCCGCCTCTCTCCGCCGACCCGGACGGGAATTTTCTCTTTTTTAATAGCCATTTCTTAGACAAACTCCGCCCTCTACCTCTCTCCGTTGAGAGCTTTCTTTTAAATAACGGACAATGCCCTTTACTGCCACTGTCTTGTATGAACGGAGGTCCCCAGCCGCCTCAGAATCGGTAAGTCGGTTTGCTCATTTTAATGTTGAATTTTGTTTACTTAAATATTTTATTTTACTTCCCTTGAGAATAATACGTTTGTTATTTCATGTAATCTTGATTCGAAATCATGATTCCATTTGACATTTTATATTCCAGTTTTTCTAGTTTGCTTAAATTCTAATTTTATTCATAATAATATTCTGTAATATATTATATCTTATTTGTAAACTGGAAATTATTTTTTAGCACTGAAGATGACCGCAATACGACCGAAAAGGCTATCTGCGAAAATAAAAAGGACGACAAAACTACGCCTGAAATCTATTATTATGATGCAAATGTAAATTCCACACCATTTTCTACCATTATGTGAAGCTATTTAGTGCATTTTAGCGTGCACTTTCAACATTGATAGATATGACAAATGAGGAATATTTTTCCCCACAGCTTTTTTTATGTACTTGTGTACGTATGTCTACTCCGCTACATTGAATTTGGACTTGGATCAAGACGATATATTTTCGCACTGGTGAACGAAAATAACGACGCGACCCGCTTCTATGCAAGGCTACAACACCCTACATCGAACGTTTTTTTTCTCTGCGGTGTGAAAGCTATTCAGAAGAAACGTCGGACACAGTAATTTCGATCTCGACTGCGGACCCCGCAACCTAGACGGCTTCGTGCACATTTCATCGTTTTTTCAAATGGTTTCATGAGTTTCATTACGTTTCATTACGAACTGCATTCGCCGGTTTCCTCGTTTTTACAATTTGCATAAATCCAACTAGGAGTTGTTTTTGAAAACAGTAGCAAACTGAATTCAAGTTACGTTCAATGGTGGAATTAATTGAGATTATTGCTAACGAACATGTTCCTCATTCAAACGACTGTTGTACCTGAAATCAAATAGTTAAACACACTGAATTTATTGTAAACTTTGTGTTGAATAATCTTTGAAATTAATGAATAGTATGAGGATTAAGAAAGCGTCATTTGTTACGATGTATTATTTCATTTTGTAAAATAAGGCATTTAAATTATTCACTCACTGGCATTATCTATGCAAAGTGTTCTTAAGTGAAGGTAACAGAATCATTTAATATAAACATATATATTCGACCTGGTCTAGTAATATAAACAAAATGTAAATAAGTTGAAATTGATTTTGCCTTACACAAATGTGAATGTGGATAGTGTAGGAATAAATTTAAGTGAATTATTTATGTATTCTTTTCTTTTTGAACGCTATGATGTCTTTTGCATTAAATGATATTTGTGTTTGCATATTTTTTACATATTGTGATTGTTGTGTGATTATTTTTGTGAGTGATTATGTCAAAGGTTATGATATTTGATGCAATTCAACGATATCATTTCCTGCCATTTGCCTAGATTTTTGTGATTCTTTACAAGAATCTACTCTCCCTGTTACGATTTCATACGTACCTGACTTTTATTTATATTCGAATCGAAAGTCGGCTCCAAACACTGCATTACAGAGTGGACATCACTTCAACTATATTAATTCTTGTGACATCCCTTATTAGTTCGGATGCCACAGTTCAAGCAAAATTAATTAATTGTTTGATTCATTCATCCAGAAACCTTATAATAAAGGGGAAATAAGGAAGGTAACATTATGGTCTTGTAAAGCAAATATGTTTTGAATCTTAAGTTTAAATAATCAGGACATCCACAAAATAGATCTGTATTTCGTCTACAAAGAGGTTCTTTTCGTTTGTTAATTTACTTTTCGAGCACCATTCTCTTAATTAAGGACTAGTGAAGAAAAAGTAATTATCACTAACAATTAAATAATATTATTCTGAAACAAAATAATAGTTAAGTCAGAATTGAAGAAAGAAGTACATTATTTGCATGCAATAGGGACGTTACATTTTCTTTTCCTTCAACACTGAAACAAGACAAAAGTCAAAAAGAAACAAGAAACAAGAACACGTCAAAAAGAAACACTGAAACAAGACAAAACCAAAGTCGAAGGTGAAATAATTATTGAAATACCGACTATTTACTACAGTATTTATTCAAAGTTAATAGGAAAGGATGAATTGATGAAAGTCTACAAAACAATGTGTGAGTTAACATTTGTAATTTTATTTATCATCAGTTTTGATATGAGTTACAAACATTAAGCTTTGAATTGTTTAAACGTAACTATTCAGTAATAGTAACATTATATCATAATTCCAAAGATGAACAGCATCAACTTATAGAAGAAAGAAATTAAGACTGTATAATTAAAAGTAATAGGAATTAAAATGAAATTGACGAAATAATACGAATTATACATAATACACATCAACGAGATTAATTAATCCTTTAAGTGACAAAATTTAAGTTGTACATAATAATACTCGTATGTTTATGTACGTCTTCTAATTCTTGAAGATTTGAAGATACCAATACTCTTGAACATGCACATTTTCTTCTAGTTTGGGGATTGCTGCCCCTTGCTCTAATATTCTCTTTATTTAACTCTTACTATTTTTCAAAACATTCCATTGAAACTTCAGTTTTTTCAAAGCAACAAGAATCATATTTAAATGACGTAATTCTATTGATGTAATATAATACTACCAACGCTTTTTCTTTTTTGTATACATTACAGCTCGCAGAACGAATCATAAATGAAAGTCAAGTGAATAGGATTTCTTTCAAATACTTTGCTAACATTTAGATTGAAAAGTTATACAACTGGTGTTGAAACCGAAGGGACATGCATGTCACATATCGCTACGTGTCCCATACTAATGCCTACAATAAACTTACTCTTACATGCATATATATATATATATATATATATATATATATATATATATATATAATCAGACAAATGCCCAACTAATTCTCTATCTTCCTACCTGTAAAGATGGTAAATTTCTGAAAAATAGATTAATTTACAGCACAACTTCTAGAATTTACAGAACACTATTGTCTAGTCATCAAAAAAATTCTAGATACTAATTATACAAAATTTAAGCCAGGGTGCTTCAAAATGGCACAGATTTTCTCGTATGGTTAGTTTCCTCTTCTGTTAACCAGGGGCTAGCTTTATGGTCTCTCGCCATTCACTTCCCAGCTGCAGTCTCTCGACGCCCACCAGATCCTCACGCGGTCCATATCGCTCCTCTAAGGACATTCGTCCCCCGTGAGAGCACCTTCGCGTTCCCCGAATGTGACTTACGTCTACCTCGGCAACGTACCTTTTCACACTTGCCAATAGTATCCCTTTATCCCGTGGCCCCTTATGGTACCATAGTTGTTGATGTAGGGATCAATACTCCATATAT